GCTATCGGTTGACACATTGTGCTATTTATTAATGGGTTTTTATATTGTTCAATGCAATGATATATGTGTTAGTTTTGTTTTATGTAGTATTAAAACAATTTTTGATAATATTAAATTATTAACAAATTAAACATACCTAACAGTTAGTAAATTTAAATGGCTATTATAAACTAGTAATATCTAATTTAAAAAACATATAGAAAAATTAAAAACATACCAAGCAACGCTTGTAGACTAGCACTGCATTGAGTAAGTCTATCTTCAGGATCACTCTGAGGGAAGAATACTGAAGAAGGTATACCATTAGCAGCAGGTTCAAAACGAAATCCAACTGATTGTAGAAGTTCTTTCCATCCAGTAACATCACCAACCTTTAAGAAGAATTAAATTAAAAAATACTTCTACAGTTCTTCTATATTATACARTGATTGTATATTTATTGTATTTGTTAATATTGCAATGCTCATATTAAAATAAAAATGTTAAGAGGATGTCGGYGTATTGTTTTCTTTCTCTGGCCCACATGTATCATAGACAAAAAGTATTCACACAAAATATTTATTTTTTGTTTTTAATCTTGCATAAAATTGTGTTCAAAAGAATTATAGGKAATATAAAACCGTTAAATATGTTAAATCCTCCAAAATATTATCTTCTATAGTTCATAATAGGTGATTTTAGTCTTAGATTATTTAAMAAWCATAAAAAAAATTATAATTTTATGTAAATGCATTTTATCTATATTTTGTGTGGGTCTGAAAGAGAAAATAATAATATWCTTAATCCACCAATAAATCTTTTAGTTTACTACTTAGGTATTCAAAAATAATTTTTTCTACACACTTTATTTTCGATGCTTTTTTGAGTGGTGTACATTGCGTTTTTCTGTCCTCTATGAATACGTTGCAAAGATTTTTCAACCTGAACATATTAAAATAMAAAATAACTTAAAATGTTTTTAATAAAAATAAAAATAGTAATAAATATAAATACCAGGTGGAGAGTAACTCGTAAAGCGTCTCTACATYGGTCAGGTGTTTTTAAAAGTTCACATAAAGCTTGCCCCATTAATGCTACTTTACTAGATAAACGTACATCTGAACCAATTAAAAAATATCCAGCCCAGTTTGATGGATGAGAAAAATGTTTTGTGTGTTGAACTGTTTGCATTGCATCACACAGAGCACGGCATACTCTTGATCCCTAATTAATAATTCATATATTAATTATACTATAACAATGTTGTATGAAAAACAATTTATCCAAAAAATTACCTGTAATAAAGCAGAGTAAAATGCTCTTAATAAAATTTTAGCAGCAGTACTTGGTACTGGCCATAAGGATACAAGTATACATTGAGCTCCAGCCATGAGCAAACCGTTCGTAAGGTCGTATAGTCCTTTTGATGTAGCCCAATCATCTCGTGCATGTGACCAACTTAAAACTACCAGTCTTGCATTTAACTTTAGAGACAATAAATCTTCTGTAGTTAATAATACTTCAGATATATTCATATCAGATTGCRGGTTGGTTTCCTACAAACACATAATTACTTATTAGATAAACCATTACAAATAGAACATCATTTTAAAATATCATTACAGTTTCATCTGGAGATAATATGATGGCCGATAATTCCCAACTAACATGGGTAGCTAAATGAATGCACTCTGCTTTAACAAGTTGTTCTAAAATGTTATGCTTATTCGCCTAAAGAAGAATGTCATATAATGAATTTTTATTTAAAATATAACTAATAAATATTTAAATTTTACTTACTTGCGCTTTAATTAAAGGTTTTGTTTGTAACATTTCAGCCACCATACTAGCTTCCTGTTCTGTATGTGGTAGTTCATTTAGACTTAGTTGTTCATTGACACAATTTGGAAGTAATGGGTTACCAACCACAAGCGTAGTCATATTYGAAGATTCATTGACTCCAGCTTTCTTTTGTGCTCTAAAAATAAATTTAAATGTTATCAATTTTTGATTTTAAACTAACTTAAGCGTTAAGGCTGGTTTTACAATGAAATTTATCCTCTTGATCTATTTGATTTAAAAGTTTTGAATTAGGGTTTCTGTAGTTAATTTAATACTATGTAGTGTGTCCACAAAACAGTTTGATCTATTTCAAAAATATTAGATTTGATATCAACACAATACTAACCTTTGATTTTCTTTGAATTTCATTAGGGAAGGTGTAACGAGTAAGCTGAATTTTTCACTTAGATATTCTCCTGATAAATGACTATCATCATCTATCTTCGGGTKTAACATTGAAAAAGGCACCAACAATAAATCTTGTTCAAGAACTAATAATAATTCCTTTCTAGCTGAACAACCTTTACTATGAGAAGCTAAATCAAAAAATGTAATAAGAATATTTTAATTGATGTGCTATTAATTATCTTTAGTTTTTAATAATTACCACATGGTGCAAATAGAAAATCTTCAAAAGGAGCTATCAGTAACTCGTACAGTTTGTTCAGACTATCAGGAATTAGCCATGCTTTTGTTTTCTTTGCTCTAACACTACCAGGTCGACTAGCAGATCCAACAGTACTTCCGCCTAAGCTTCCAACACTAAAAAACAATACAATTATTATTGGTTGTATTTCATACACTAAGATTGTTAYAAAAACTAAGTACCTGAACAAACTACTCAAACTGTAGTTACTAGAGTTATATAAATGGTTTCGATTCACCATTCTTAAATAACTACGTTCATTTTCTTGAGCTAGTCTATCTCCTAGTTCGTCTAAGTGACAAGCTTCATTCAAATCTGAATCAATTCTGAAATTAAAAAACTTACAATAATGTATGTTTGTTTGAACATGAACTTATCACATGTCAAGCATGGATCCAAGCGGAGGTAAGGTTTAAAGCTCCCACCCATAGACTATGTTGAATTATAGAATGTCAGTTTTCAGCAGGTTGATACAATAGTTAATTGTCTTGCTGATTACAAAATGTTATCCAAGATTACTCCTCCCCCTCCCCATATACTCTATTCTGGATTCACACATGTCAAATATATAGAATTTGGTAAGACTTACATTGGTTGCTGAACATTGAGTGTACTTTTCACATCTTTTAGATACTGTGTCAATAGATTATCCATGCCATTTTCAGTTTGAATTAAAGTTTCATGGAATTTAACAACACCTAAATGACAAATATGTATGAATATTTTTATAAGTTTAATGTTGAATAGACTTACCTTTATTAGGAATAATAAGCCAAGAAAACAAATAACCAGATGCTATACTGAAGTAAAGAACTGAAGCTTTTTGTTTATTCACAATGTCAAGTAAACTTTCTACAGAATTTATTTTATGGTAATCTGGAGAAGATTTTATTCTYATATTGTGACTAGAAGTTTTTGCTCTAATACGATATTTTTCTGTGACTAAAAGAGCTTCCTCGCATCTATTTAGTTGTACTAACACAGTCTAAAAATAAATAAATTTAAAATAAAGATTTYGTAGASATTTATAAGTAAAACTCTAATATACTTACTTGTAAAGCTTGATAACATTCTAATCTTAGTTGAGTAATAGAATGAGAATGTTCTAAGGTAATAGTGTTAAGAGCATTATCTAATAATTCAGACGCTTGTTCTAAATGACCTCTAGCTGCATCAGACTGTCCATCAGCTAATAATGCCATTCCAAGCTTATATCTTATACGCCCTTCTTCATCTGGTTTTCCTGTCATATCAATACTCTGTAAGGCTTGGGTGAGATATATGACTGCTTGACTAGTATGTCCTAATGTATGATGTAATGATCCTAAACTTCCATATGCTGCAGCCTTTGCTGTTTTCTCATCGATTTGGCTAGCGATTGACAAATGTTCTTCTTGGTATTTAATAGCCTCATTTAAGTTCCCTAAAATTTCTTCTACATTTCCAATGTTTCCATTTGCTCTGCATTGCAACAGTGGTTGATTAAGTTCTTTGCCAATTTCTAAATCTAATTTATGGTAGTGAAGGGCTACACTATTCTGACCCATCAATTGATGTGCATATCCAAGAGCAGATGCTGCGTTTGCTTCAACATTTCTATCACCTAATTCTCTTGCTATTGATATTTGATTTTGCAAACAGGACACTGCTTGTTGGTAATTGCCCATCATAACATGATTGGAACCTAATTCACCATACGCAGAAGCTTTCATCTCTGAATTGTTAAGTTCATGGGCAATGACTAGTATTTTTTCAAAACAAACTAGACTTTGATCAAGATGTCCAATTCGTCTGTATGATTGACCTAGACAACAATAGGCTTTTTCAAGGTCTCGAAGGTTTTGAAGTTGTACAGCAATGGTTAAAAATTGTTCATGACATTTAACAGCTTCATCGAAATCTCCTAATGCGTCATAACAGTCACCAAGATTTCCAAACGCTCGACCCTGTTAATTAAAAATAATCAAAACTTATTTCTTTTAGCTTATTAATTATATATACTTTATCTATCAAAGATGTGTGAGATGATAACTGTTCCARAGTAGCTAATTGTTGTTCAAAATATCCAATTGCTCCTTCATAAATTCCCATATTCATTCTTGCAATACCTATATTAAAAAAATAATAAAATATTTTTCTAACATTCAAAAATACATTTTATATTTTTTGAATAATACCTAAATTTCCAAAAGCTTCAGCCTCAATTGCATTATCCCTAAGTTCTTTTGCTCTTTCRAGCTGTAATTGGTAACATTTTATTGCATTTGTATAATTTCTAAGAGACATATACACTGCTCCAATATGTCCATGAGCACAACATTCACCTTTTAAGTCACTTACTTCTTGTCTTAGAGCTAATTCCTGAAAATCACAATAAATAGTACTGTGCTCAGTAGTCAGTATTATATTGTAYAAATCATACTTGGCAATGGTAAGATAGAGCCTTGTCATAACATTTGATATATCTGTTAGCTAGTCCTAAAGAACTACATGCTGCTGCTTCCATGTTTGTATCTCTAATTTGTCTGGCAAGTGTGAATTGTCGATGATACATTTTAAGGGCCTCCTCTGTGTCGTTCATTTTAATAAGAATATCTCCAATATTGCCTAAGGCACGGAGTTTTGCTTGAAGACTTTTTGTCATATGTGATATAGCTTAAAACAAATTTATTACGATAATAATAGCATAATTTTTTAGTTTTAAAAAATTTACCTAAAAAGTACTTTTGGCATTCTAATGATGTTTCTAGATTGCCTAGAGCTAAATGAGCAAGACCTAAATTACAGTAAGCTCGACCCATATTCATCTTATCTTGGAGATCTTTGGCTAAAGATAAATCTTGATCATAATATCTTACAGCTTCACGATAATTACCCAAACAATAATGAGCATAACCCAGAAAATGGCATGCTTTTGCTTCCCCTTCTATGTCATGTAATTCCTTCAAAATTAATAATTAATAAGTATTTTATATCATTAGTTATTAAAAATAACTTACTTGAGATAACATTAAGTAGTTTTCGTAGTAAGGAATGGCTTGCAAAAAGTCATTTCGCGTACTTAAGCAATTGGCTAGATTCAATAAGGCACAAGCTTCTCCAGCTGTATCTTTCAACTCTCTAGCAATGTTTAAGTGAGCTCTATAATGTAAAAGCGCCATTTCAAATGCCCCTAAAGACTGATAGGCTACTGCTAGATTTCCATGAGTAGATGCTTCAGAGTTTCGATCTTTGACTTCCTTTGATATTGTTAATTCCTGTTTATGATATTTAATTGCCTGAAAAATTCAATTTTTCAGAATATTATTTTATCTTAATTAGAATATTAAACTAAATTGTTAGTTTTTACCTGTTCGTAGAAACCCATAGCACTGTAAGCATTTCCTATGTTTCCAAACGCTCTTCCCATAGCAGCTCGATCATGTAAAGATTTGGCAATATTCAAATGAGCATGGTGAAGTTTTAATGCAGACTCATGAGCTCCTAGTAACTGATACACAATACCCAAATTTGAACATGCTCTTCCTTCTCCAACTTTGTCATGTGTATTTAATGCCATATCTAATTGTTTTTCATGCCAATGTTTAGCCTGAAAAATTGCATAATGATTTGTTGATTTCTAATAAGTTCTATTTTATATTAAAATCCTACTTGAGAATAGTTTCCAGCACATCTTGCCGCATGACCAAGTCCAGCATATGCTCTAGCTTCAATCACCTTATCCCCAAGTTCTTGTGCGAGTCTTAAGACATTTTCATGATAGTTAATAGCTTGAGTAAAGTTACGCCTATAGTGATATGATGAACCTAAGTTGCTAAATGCACGTGCTTCTTCAACCTTACCGAATGAAATAAAAAATTTAGATATATTTAAAATAGAAATCAAACAATAAAACTAAATTTTACTTTATTTCCTAGTTTTTTTGATAGCTTTAAATGTTGCATATGACAGTCTAGCGCGCTTTCAAATTCACCCATGGCTAAATAAACAGCACCAACATTTCCAATCTCTCTAGCTTCTTGAAGAACTTCTCCAATTTGTTTGACTAACTGTACACATTGTTTATGTGATGCTAAAGCATTTGGATAGTCACCAATTGCAGTATACACATGGCCTGATAAAAAATTTATATAAAGCTATAATTAATTTTTATGATAAGACAAAACAGCATTAGTTTAATAACATGTAATATAATTTTATTTTTTCTTAATTAGTTTTAATTAAATAGGACTATTAGGTTTTGTAGGAAATATTGTTGTTATGTAATGTTATSTAAGCTAAATTAAAGTGTGAAACATAATTTTTATTATTTAGATAATAAATTTAAAAAATAATTAGCAACTTACCCAAACTAGTGAGAGCAGATGCAGCAGCTTTCATTTCTCTGGCTTTCATTGCAAAAACTAATTGGTATCTATGTGCTGTAAGCGCTTCTTTATAGCTTCCTTTACTAAAATAAGCTGATCCTAAATTACCATGAGCTCGACTCTCTCCAGCTATATCTTTTAAAGACTTAGCTACTAACAAATCTTGTTGCATGTATCCAATAGCCTATATTAGAAGTGATTAGATCATTATAGCTGAACTAATCGAGATTCAAATTAATTTTTATATATACATACTTTATCCAAAGAATTCATTGCCCAGTAAGCTGAAGATAATGCAGAAAACACAGAGCCTCTTAATTTAGCACTACAGGTTCCTATTCTAAGGGCCGATTCTAAGACAACTACAGCCACTGAGTACTGCCCAGCTGCTAATAATTCTTGACCTATCACAGACATTACGAGAAATGGAGATTTGTCCAAAGTTACTCCATTATGATTTATGCTTTGTAACTGTTCAAATATAGGCTCCAACACACCTATTAAATATGGAAAGTAAAAATATATATTATACAAAAAAAGGCATATTCTTATGCTTACCTCTAAGAGGAGACTTGATAGAAGCCTCAATAAGACCGGCTAACAGCTGAGTAGATTTTGGCTCAATGGAGAGCCCAGTGCTAAATACAGCAAGAGCATCTCCATGCCTCCCCAAACATTGTAGAGCAACACCCTCTCGGAAGTGTGCCTTTGGCCAACTAGGATTGACTTGGCGGGCACAAGTGGCATCGTGCAGTGCTTCTGTAAACCTGCCCAACTTGAGTAGTGCTGCAGACCGATTGGAATATAGAATATGGTTATCAGGATAGTGACGCAGAGCTTCACTATACAATTGTATAGCTCGTRCATAGTCTCCAGATTCACAAGCAGCGTTTGATTCACGCACTTTTTCCATAAAACCTTCTTCACCACACCCATTTTCCGGCTCCACCTAAACAAAAATAAAAATGTAATGAATTTCTATACCTCTTATTTATTATATGAGTATTGAATGTTTGTAATTTCTTTAATTTCTTTAATTTAAAATAGGTATTTACCTCGGATAGGTCTCTTTGTGGCATGATTTTGAAAACATTTCTATATTCACATATCTATGGATATTTTTAATCTAAAAAAAATTATTAAAAATACAATGCATTACTAAAGTGATAAATATAAACTATAGCATTGATTATTAACCTGTTCTTAACAAGCGTAATCTAGGGATTACATGGATATATCTGAGTTAAATTAAAACAAAATTGTAGTTGGTTTGTCAATGGTTAATTTATTAATCATAACTTTCATATAATTGTGTTTTGTAGTAGGAAATGATTGATATTATATCGATTTATATGTGTGTTACTTGAAGGTGATACCTATTGCTTTTATTATTTATTTTGTTTGTGATCATATTAGGTATAAAGAAACAAATTATTAAACAAATCATTCAAGCATAATTTTTCATGATGTATATTTTATGAGGATTCCTAATTTTGGGGGTCTATAGATATTTTGTTTAACAGTATAATATGGTCTCCACAAACAAAAATTTTAAGAACCACTGAACTTTAAAAATCACTCAGATTATCTGAGTCAGATAGGTAAAGGAAAATTAGAAGCAAATTTTTTATAAATAATTAATAATTTGAGTTTTAAATGTAATTCTATTTAGATACCWACCTAACAGACTATATTGGATTTTAACGATCCAATTAAAAACTTCACCCAAGACTGTAGGCCTTATATTTATTCAAGAGATCTAAAAAATAATAGTTTAGTATGGGGTTATGGTAATGTCATACATGATATATAAATATTATGTTCTTGTGTAGTAACYTAACAGAAACAAATCTATTCTATATGTTCCAACCAATGTCTATTACCTGTGTATTACTTTTAAAACATAAATACCTATATATAAAATTAATAATTTGAAATGCATACAAATGTTTTTGTCTTGTAAGTTACAGTTAGATGTTATTGTTTTTCAACAAAATAGAAATCAATCTTGAATAATATTCAAAAGAAGTTGAATGATACTATGATTGGTACTTATAAATTTGAAATTGATTGATTAACAGTATTCTATTTACCCAAGTCAGAAATCCAGTGAAAGTATTTTAAATACCCAAGTAGGTATAGGAACATAAAAATTGAATCAGGTTCTGACAATATTCCATATGAATGATAGTTTCTAATGAATTTCGTAGGATATTTCAGTAAAATACGAGTGCGTGCAGTTTAATATGAATTACAACAAAGTTRCCATTCACTTATTCATACAGTGAAATGAAAACAATTTAAGACGTTATTACCGCCATAGTTTAATTATGTAGGTACACAGAGAAAATTAACCGCAGACCACTAGGCACTCAGCGTCAGCACGAACGCTAAAAAATTCAAAAACGATTTTCTCGTACCACACATTGTTATAAGAGCAGTACTCGTACAAACCCATAGATTAGTATATTACAAACACAAATAAAGCACAAACCCAACAATTTCGGAGAGGTGTTTATGACGGTCGTAAATGGATAGGTCAGGAAACCTGGGATCAAAGGTCTAAGGGGGCGTATAAAATATAAAAATATGATGGGGTCGTATCAAGCTGGTGTAGAAATATGTTCCATGGGATCGTTAACTTACGCAGTATTCCGTGTAGTAACAATTTATCCTTACATATTTATCTAAATCTATATTATTGTGATAATAGGTAATATTGTATTGCGGCGGAGACTTTAACGGCGCACCGCGTTCATAATATTATTATTTACTATTTGTTATTTGGCGTTATCGTAAGATCCCGTCGACATTACGAGGTCTGCGCGTGATCATCGTCGCCGTCGGAGGGCTCAACGCACGCAAACACACACACTCGCACCGCGTCACACAGACACAAACACACGCGTTCGGGCAAACGGGCGCCTCGGAGGAACGTAGACCACGGACTGCGGTTCGGATTGTTTTTTCTCTCACCGCCGGTCCTCTCCCGACGACGGCGGTCGTCTCCTCTTCGCCGGCCAGGCGACGGTCTCGCAGAACGGCCGTTACCGCGGTCGCGGAGGTGGCGGTGGAGGTGGTTACGCGATCCGGTCGCAACAGGTGACGTGGTAGTGGGGACGACGTGCGGCAGTCGTCGTGATCTGTAGTAGTTGCCGTGAGAGGGGGGCGGGGTACGGGTGAAAATAAAAAAACGTTGTGCGTGCCGGGCACGAAAACGCGTCGCATTCCGATGTCGGCCATATTGGAATGCGGTCGACTGACCCCGCAAACGGATCCTCCCTTTAACCTTGATTCGCCCGGGCGGCAGCGTAAAGCCGACGAATTTTATACGCATTGTGCGCGGTGAACAGAACGAGCGCGCGCGCTTGATCATTAATTTAAATATCTTATTAAGATCGTCGGGACAGATATCATTGAGGGTCGTCCTCGTCGCGGGAACGCCGCCGCGGCCTGGAGACGACGCTCGCGCAGGATGAGATAGCACGATCCTCGCGCGTTCTCCGTTTTTCGCTTTCCGTGTTCTACGCCACCGTCTCGATGTCGGTGTTCTAGACAAGAGGCTAGGAATCACTATAAAAACCGAACAACTGCAAATTCACCGCCACGGACATCCCTCCTCGCGCAACAACGRCACATCACCGCCACCCACTCAACATCCAAGTCCGATATTTCAATACACATCCTCATTACTCTCAAAATCCCTTAAAAATACAAAATGTAAAAATAAATTATAATTTTTTAGAGGCTGGTTATAATACCTACATGTCGGAACTAAAAATGATTGATACAAAAAAAATATATATTATTATTAAAAGAATCATTAAACTAAGCCTAATGCCCTATTGAGATTGGATGTATTATTGGTTATAAACATTATAATATTTATAATAATATATTTACCTAAAACATCTTATCGGCAGGGCCGGACCAGGGGCCAGGGGGTTACATATGGGGTGCATTCCCAGAGCTTATACCGTTATGGGGCCTCTAAACAAAAACTAAAAATTCTGAATTATAATGCCATAAACACTAAAGGAAATAGGAAAAAATTATTTGGAAAATATTAAATATGCATCTTGTTGTCATACAGTATCTATTTTGATGGTTAYAAGGTTAATAAGAGATAAAAAATGTCGAAAATTTTTCATCAATCTAATTATGTACCTATATTTTGAAAGTTATACTACTTGTAACTATATTTTATATGTTATAGATGCCTACATCTGTAACATATTAAATTAAAAAATATTCTAAGAAGTAGGTATATTTATGATAAGTATTATATTATGTATTTGGTGCCTTGGTGGGGCTCATTTTTACTATTTTCCCCAGGGCCCATTATTCTATAGAAATCCAGGACTGAGCCCATCAGTCATCAACACATCACGGCATCACACATTTTGTTATAGGTATTTTATTCGACGACCGCAGCGTCATATTTGATTACTATAAAATATGGAATTAAATCCCACCAAGGCTGCGGTCTGCGGTCCAGAAAATTCTACACCCAAACGTAATAATTTATACTGCAACTGTAGTGATTTAACTTCAATTTACAATAACATGTACCTCATATATAATATACCTATACTTATTGTATTTAATATAGGTAACAGGTATATACCTCTATAAGGGTCACTATCAGTTATACCGGAACTCGGCAGCTTTTCTCCGGTATAGGTATGTGAAAATGGTGTGAATGTGTAGTATACGTTTATTACCGATCACATAATAGTCATAATACGTACGTAATGTACTGTTTATTATATATATACACTACGTATGTACGTCACTGCAGACTAAATCGAGGAGCACACGTATAATATTATGATGTACCTACACACAAGTATAACTATACGCTGGTTATCCGAGGACGGCTTGAGACATGATTTCGATGGTTCCAAACACCCTATAAATATAATAATACTTAATGAAAATTATATGTATTTTCTAGACGTCTCGTTTAGGTAGCTATACAATATATAAACCCATCCGACCGACGCGGCGTATGCATACAAAACGTTCAAAATTATAATTAAAAAACGAACTGTAAGTGTTTTTTTTTTTATTTTGTTAATTAATTTTCTTTATACAGAATATTATGTAATATTCGTGTGGCTTTATTTACCTACCTAAAGATATATTCTTTGAAGATCGTTACAACAGCTATATTAGAATACACCATTATATAAATATATATATATATGAAAAATTTACCTACATATATATAGTACCTTAATATCTTATATTATATTACCTATAGATAATCGTATAACGAGTTTCATATTTTCATCGTATCTATACAAAATGCCGTTAATAAAATTACTGAAGTTAAGTTAGTATGCATGTACATAATTATGGTCACCATTTCGATAAGTATTTTACATATAATTACGATMAATATTAAAAATCAATTTGTCATTTTTTTAAGATTTTTTAACGGCTTCTAGAGAAACACAATTTTTATACCCAGTATAATAATTCATAAATATATGCGTTGTTTATTGTAAGTTGTAACAAACTCAACAGTAGTACCTATAGGCTATAAGATTATCTATATAGTAACAAATAACAAATGTTACAGTGCTAAATCTATTTAGTTTTTCACACTCGAAATACAAGAAATATTTATTTAAATTCTCTGTAAGTTATTTATTATCTTTGATAGTTCTTAAATCTAAACTAAAATTAAATTCAATAAGTGTATACTGCAGGATAGGTATAGGTGCTGTAAAATTATTGTTATTTATTTAATGTAAGCGCATAAATAACAAAATTGGTACCTACCTGCTTATACATACAAAACAGTAAATATATCTATATAGTATGCATATTTATATAATTTATAACACGATATTTATACAAATTGAAATAGGTATATTTTAACATTTACCATTTACAATACCTCCAGTAGGTAATATAATTTAAACGACAAATATTATTTCAACATTTTTTAAGTATAATTATATTCTCTATTATTTACATTTTCCTTATGTGATTATAGATATATATATATATATGTGTGTGTATGTAAAATTTAAATTATATATTATGATGTACATATACACACTAAAACCGTTGAATAATAGGCTATTATGGTAGTATGCTCAGATAGCTCAAAAATATAACTATCAATATATACACAGAATTGACACTAATGTTATTATGTTTTACTAAGAAGGTATTTTGCATTATAGTCTATAGACTATAATAGAGAATAGACAATAATGAATATTTTATGAATTACTATTTTTGTTTGTRTAATTAATTCATTGCCATTTTGTTAAGGCATTTAAATTATATTTCAAAAAACTGGTCATAAATATTAAATATATCTATTTATTAAAAATTTTCGATTTTATGTTGTTTTTCTATAATATATTATTTTTTTAACCAAACCACGACCAGGTACATCATCTGCAAGATGCAGCAGGCCAGCACATAATATGTTAAAATGATCAAATTAATATGATGTCTATAGAATATATTATGATTAAATTATTATATACATGTATATAATATACATAATATATAAATCAAACATATATCGGAACTAAATGACTGAAATATTAGCCTATTTATTCTAATATATTGGTATACAACATGAAACTTCAATGGGAGAATTTAAAATTGATATCTATTTCGTTAAAATATAGGTACCTAGTTATATTCAATAGGTACCTAACCAGAATATAAGTATTTTATACCATAGCGTCGTWTGTATAAGCTTAGAAATAAAAATAAAATTCAGTGTATGTTTTTATGAGAAAAATCGTTTTTAATGACTTTTTACATTTTAAAAATATCAATTTATTTTTGATTTTAATCTTATTTGATAAGTTTTGATAGCTACAAAATAATAAATATAAACCTAAATCTCGGAAATATTTTTTATTCCAAATATAATAACAGGTAGTAAAAGTAAGTAAAAATAAGTATTAACTATTATGTGATGAGTATGTTTAATTAACATTTTTACTTATAGTCGCATACGGGTACATATATTATATTTGCCCATCATATTTAATCACTGTTTCGATATAATGCATACTGTAATGTTAAAGTAAGTAAAATTACTATACAATTATTATTTCTATCGTTGTTTAATTTTTCAAAAACTTTTTATTTTTTGTACCAAATAAAGTCCCTAGGTAATAAATATCCAGAAAAATTATAAAAAATAAGAATTATTTATGACTTTTTGCACATTTGTTGATAAAATACGTTACGCAAATATTTATCTAGTGGGTGGATATATTATATATATTATTAACACGCGAAAAAAAAACATTGGCTCACCCTGTACTCTGTAGGCATACGYGTAWCGTGTATGTTATAACGATTGCGATTATTATAATCTACAGTTAGATGTTATCGTTATTGAAGTTAGTTATAATTTAYTCGTATATCATATTACTCTGACAGATATATTAAGTCTTAAGTCTTACACTTTTAACTAAACTGCACGTAATGCCACTTGAACATTCACATTAAGAATGCATAAAATACATAACGAAATGTTATTATGCATTATATATATGCATACAATATATGTATTGAATAAGCTGGATATATTGATAAAAAAAAATTTACCCATCACGAAAATACTGTTGATTATACGTCTGATTGTCTGAATATATAGTTACTAATACATTAATACCTAATAATAAGTACTACTTATTAGGTATATTAATAAGAAGAAAATGGATGATTAAATATATACCTGTATATTTATATATATGCAATATGACCAATGATGTGCATGTACAGAGTAAATCATATAGGTATATCAATATCTATATATGCAYTCGTAAATAACATAAGACATAACTAAAATACAAGCTTCGTTGACGTGGTATATGAACAAAATACGATTACTTTATTTGCATGTAAAGAAATACCTATAAACRTTATAGGAAGGTACATTATGACATATTCCCACGGTACATTTTACGTTGCACGAACATTGACGTGTGCATATGAATTTAATTTTAAGTAT